GAGCGAAATTGATTATTCTCTTTTGGTATAGAGTACTCATATTATATTAGTATCGTAGAATGACCACATTATATTCAGTTGAGGATTATGAAATTTATGTTAGGTACATAAAATATCCTTATATATATATAACTGTATGATCTTGAGTGAGTTCTGTTATAAATCATTTATTTGACGTAAAATAACGATTGAGGTATACCAATAGTTAACTTAAGTGTTCCTTAAGCATTGTTTTTCAACCTGATCAAACATGAATCTTATTTTGGCTCACGCATTTAAAATATTTTTTTATATTGTTTATTTATATAGTTGCCATTTGTTACATATTTTATTACTATATAAACTATTATAATTAGTAAAAATATATGCATATTTAAATTATTTACAAATATATTTGTATCAAAAACAAATCATTGGCAAATCAAGCTAGTAGTATGTATATAATTTATAAACCTGAATAGGATTAATCCTTCTCATTTCTTACCATCTCCAGCGAAAGAAAGTTGGCCACTCTACCACCTCAATCCTAATCAGTGGGTATGACTATTTTTAATCATCCATTTTCAAAAGGAAAAAGCAGGTGTAATATAAAGTAATTAAGTAAAACAAACTATCAACATACAAACAAATAAATTGTAATTATTTACATTCATACACTTTAGATTCTGAACGGAGCGAGAAAGCTAGTGGTTTTACAATGGTTTTTTTTTTGTTTTTGGATCAAGATGGTACTTTAATGAGGTAATTTTCGATTTTATCAATAGTTATTTAATGCCAGGGGAAAAACCACCGAAAAATTATGAAAAACCTCTAAAAATGGGATTTTAATTTCTAACGCTTTGTTTATCACCATAGAAACGAATAAAAAATAATAATTAATAATATTACAATATTAATTTAACTTACATGATATGATAAATAATAAAAATATAAAATATCCAGACTGACAAACCGTCTCCGCTCAGAATCGTTTTTCTTATACAATGATATTATATCACTGAATTCAAGTTTAATACAATCCATTATACAATGACCCACTTGTAACCTATTGTACAGCAGAGAGACAACCGCTTACCTACTTTTTTTTTTTGTTACATTTTCAGCATAAAGAATATATGTAATCAATTACAAATACCTATTTTATTATACAATTAATATTATGTAATAATAGTACATAACATATAATACGCTATCACTCTTATAATAGGTACAATGTGCATACTGCGTACCTAATATAATAATATTATAATATAAGTATTATGTTTATTAATTAATACATTTTTTTTATATTTTAATGCACCTAATTATGAAATAATTGTTAGTTGTTACCTTTCACTGATCCGTTACAGTATATTATAATATCGAATAGTACTGTTAATATTGATAAAGCTTTAAATGAAATCATAGTTATTGTTTTGATAAGTACCTGCAAAAAACGAGTATAAACTTTTTATCGCAATGGATGTACGTAATGTGATTCGATTTTTATTACAAAATAGGTACTATTAAATTGTAGACACAGAATAACGTTATTTTACAATTGTGAGTATGCTTTATAAAAACTGAATAAACATTGTAAATATTTTTTTCATGAACATCAGCTAGAAATCCATATGAATAAATATAAGTTTTAATGTTACATGTTAAGAAAATAAGTTAGGAAAGAAACCCGACAACAACACCGGTTGTGTCGTTTCTTTTGAACACGTCACGTATTTTTATTGGCGCTGTTTTTTAATTGTGTGTTTGTTTCCTTGGTTTAATTTTCTCCAAATATCTTTATAAACAATAATGGCAGTTTACCTACAGTTTTAAAGTCTCATGACGTTTATAATATTTCAGTTCAGGTATTAAATATTATTAGCTGATCCCGCGCACTTTGTTGCCCGTAAAAAATGACAACTTTTAAAAATTTTTGGATGTAACTCGTTGTAGTAAGTTCAACTCAGCCACCTTTGTAGGCAATATGCGAAAATTCGATTTGATGCTTGCTTGTACCTGATCTAGCCGATAACCAATGGCAACCATTTATAAACATCAATTTCCATCGTAAATCTCAAAATTCCTGTTTGAGTTCCTCCTCGGATTTGACCTACCGGGTCCAATTGTGAATCTTAACCTTCCTTTTGAATCACTCTATCAATTAAAAAAAACCTGCAACAAAATCCTTTGCGTAGTTATAAAGATCTAAGCATACAGACAGCGGGACTTGTTTTATACCTACTATATGTTAAGATTTTACTCGAGTATTATTTGTAGTTTGTACTTTGTACTTTATAAATTATAACTAATAATTGAATATTGACTGTATAGTGTTATCTTGTAACTTTTGATTTAATTCGTGGACTAATGTGATAATTATATTATATTTTAACCTCTTGTATTCGTACAAATGTAAACATCGATTTCGATCGACGAAAAAAATTAATGTTCCGATAAATGAAATAATGTTTGTTACACCTGTATTAATAAAGTATGCAATATGGCTTAGCTATAAGTATACTTATTATTTATCACATTATAAAACGTTTGTATATTATAATGTCATTATTCAGTATTCACTATATTACTAACAAAACTATGAAAACGATTAATATGTATATCATAATGATAAGGCTTACATATTATAATTAATTTAGTTTCCCATCGTATTATACAGCGTGCTTTTAATGCATAATAGACATATTTATAAACATTTAGTATAATAATATAATATAGAATTACATCTAAGGTATATGTTGAAAAACACTGATGAGTGATGGGTACATCATATCATGACGTGTTGGAAAGTCATCAGACATCATAAGTTCTAAACTTTTAATATATAAAGTACATAATATGATCTACTTTTTGTAGTGGATTTGTATTTAAATTGCAACATAATATTGAAAGAACTGAGAAGGAACGCCTGTTCAACTCTTTTATTTGTTGTCTCCGTCTTACAAGTGCATAACATAGCAAAATGACCTATTATGAATCTTGATGGCAAGAATATTATCTGTGTTTCTACGATAGTCCAATTTTTTACCAAGTTATGAGTGTATAATATACCGTAAATTAAAAATGCTCATAACTCACTTAAAAATTTACTCCTTGGAAGTTTGCGTTTGAGTTCATTATATAAAATCATATTGCATACGAGTCTGAAATGAAGTACCACATTTTATGTCTTTGTTGTCCTTGCTAACATATGTAGCACATACCTAGGTAATATTGTAATATTATAATATTAAAATATTAATGCAGTCTCACCTAGCTATCGTGTGATAAGCGCATATATCAAGTTTGAATCTCGGATGAGAAAAATGATATTTTTCATTTTTTTTTTCGTAAATTAACGCTTTATGTAACTTAACGTTTTTCGATTTCTAATACACTGATTTCATGGCAACCAATAATTATTATTATAATAGTTTTAAAACCCATGGCAACCATTTACAAATAAATAATAAATAACGCGTAACGATTTTCGATTCTATGTGCCAAAGCAAAGACATTTTTTTCTTTTGAATAATGTTTAAAGTTCTGAGGTATTATTAAATAATGTCTTTATACCTAGGTACTCGTTTTTGTTTATCTAACTTTCACAAAAATATTTGTCATAAAAACACAAAACGATTTCATATGTTAACAAACATTATATTATGATATTCTGGCGGAGTTTACAATCGCCCAAATAGACTTATTACTTTAATTCTTTTATCAAACAACACTCATCATTTGAAAAGTATTGAAAGTGTTGTTTGATAAAAGAATCACCCTGTATATATAATAAAATTAATAAGTTTGTTTAATATGTATAATAGGTTTGAAGTTTGACTTTTAATTAAATTTGAATAAAAAATATTTATTTTTTTTGAATTTTTTGATTGATAAGTGCCTACCTACAATATCTTTATGTTATGCCGTTGTTATATAAAGTTTATAGAACTTATAATTACTTCTCATGATCAAACAATATGAAAAAATAAATGGAATATGTATGCAAGTTGTGAGTATGTGCAAAATATTTTCGCCCCCCCCCCCCCACCAATTAAGGCTTCTCAAGAACTGCCCTGGGCGCACACGAATTGAATAAAAAACAGTTAAACGAACCTCTTTGAAAGAATTGCGTTCGGGACGCAATTCATGTTACCTTTTAATCTAAATTTGAGTGGTTCCTAAAGTGATATTGAAATAATAAAGATGTCATGTTATGTAAGATTGAAATTGTGAAAACATAATATAAAGCGTCATATTCACATATTTAAAAAAAAAATTTAAATTGTAAACATTTAATATAATACTAATCGCCATGGTTATATAAAAAATTGAAAGTGTGTGAACATAATATCATAATATAAATCGTCCGTGACGCAATTCGTTCAAAAAGGTTCGTTTACCTGGCATGGTACTCAATTTTATTATCACTGCACATGTAGTGACCTACCTGCTACTGTATACAGCAGAGCGGTTACCTAATTTCCTCTATAGTTCTCAGATTTTAATGATATATTTGCGTGTAAAAATTACAGTTAAATATTAAATTTTATATCTATGCTTATCGACCAACCTGGCAACCTACCAAAAGGTCTTATAGGTTATAGTATATCCATTAATTATTTTAATAAAAAATTAATAATTATAAGATAATAAATGACTGCCGGAAAAGAGTAAGGAACTATACCTGTATTCCCCTCTCCCGCTTAATACAAAATGTAATTGGTTTGTTTACAGGATGTGCTCATACCTACTTATCTATCAATTACAGATAGACAAAGGTCACTTGTAATGGAAGTGGGATTTGTGAGTTTAAATTAGTTTATCAATTTGATTTCTGAATTTTTGATAATGCTATAGTCACACAAACACAACCAATACTAATATTAATTGTTCAGTAGCTACTTACAGTGTCTCTTAGACGTTAACCTAACATCGACCCTATATTATTCCGTAAGTTTCTATATTATAGGTATTATAGTATATTTTTTTAAATATTAATTCTAATAGTTTCATGCGAAATGAAGAGTCTTAAAAGTTTACAATGCATATTTATGCTATTTATTTTATGCTTTGTGCATTTGGGCTATTGTGCACCTCAAAATAAAGGTAAGCATATAATTATTGTATTTTAATATTACGTGTTTTTAATTATTTTACAATGCCATGTTGTGTAATTTACATTTTTGGATCATTCTTAGAACAAAAGCATAACCTTAAACACCAATAAAATAGTACCTATATAGTATATACTTACTCTATTGTTTGGATATGGTGTGAACTAAGCAATTTAAGACATGGGCGACGTCTAGGGCTACCATTCACCCAAACTGAATAAGGTTGTTTTATTAAAATTATTTCGCGTACCATGTATTTTCCATATTCGACCTATTGTGACCAGCATGTATATTTTAATTTGATTTGGACATAGTAACCTTTCTGATATACAATATATGCTGGGCATTAACGAGTTAAAAAGTTAAAGTTAAGTTAAAAAGTTAATTTTATTTTATTTTAATTTCGCTTTCATGTTAAAAAATATTTACTGTGAATTATTTAAAGTAAAAATGTATATTATTCTAATCTAGCTTATATGGAAATACTGTATTAAGTACAAATTACAAACACTCGTCTATAATATAGGTTTTGGGTTGGAAAAAAATGAAGTATGCTAGCGTTGTATAAACAAATTAACTTTTTTTACTTAATAAAAAGTTAACAAAAAGTGTGTATAGACTTTTTACTTAACTGAGTTAAATTATAATTAAGTTATAAAAAATTTTTAAAAGTAAATACTATATAAATTATACGTGCTGCACGCGTAACCTTCGCTCCAGAGTTTTTCTCCGATCGCCTCTTTAATAGTGAACAGATTTGTACGTTCTTTGTTTCTACAAATTCATAAAAAGTGTGCTTTCAGATCTTTGACGCTTTCGAGTCGATCTGACAAAAATTTTCCCCTTAAGGGCAGTTTTAGCGACCCACCTGTATACACGGCCGTAGTAGAAACATCAAATGTAAGTCTAATCTTTATTTTTATCGATACGAAGGTCGGAAGGTCACAAACTCGTAACACCGGACGTGTTATCTTGCACCGCAATGCTATTGACTTATCGATGTGATTAGATCCATGTCTCACACCCTTTATACACTGCGTGCGCAATAATCCCTTATATACAGAGTGATATAGTGACTGGTTTCATATTAACTGTTCGTAAATTGCTTATCCGAACTTCACCAGACGCTTTATCGATTATAACATTATAATAATATCACAATTTGGAAAAAAAACATCAGGCTAGGACAGAATAGATATTAGTGCCGCCACAGCCGCGAGCTTCAAACTAAAAATCGAATGCCCAGGCTGCAAATTTGTTTCTCTAAACGGCCAGGGAATTTAGCCAGGGAATCTGGTCCATGAGCGATAATCAGAATAATTGATAATACGCCCGGGCCATACAACCACTCTACCCAATCCGAAAATATAGATACACTAACACAATACAGCTGACGACCCCTTTTCAACAGCTTCACAACTTCCGAAACTTATATTCGATTAAAATCTAGCTCCGGTTTTAGTGAAGGAATCAGAACAGTTTTTCACAGAGATCGATAAATATACATTACAACCTCCAACACATGACAATTTTAATAGTTTCAAAAAAATAATTAAAAAATGCATTATTTATTTCTATTCAAATCTAATAGTCAACTTACGGGTCCGATTCATCCTGCGGTATCTTACCATAGGAAAAGAATAAATAATAAAGATATTGATTTCGATAGAGGGAATAGCCAAAAATCAAACCCACAAAGATACTCTAAATGACAGAAAAAAAAATTGTGATCAGTAAGTTCATATACGACCTAATACAGTTTCAATAGGCAAACCAACGTCGAAAAGTGGAGCGGACTCTACTAAATTCAAAAAACCCAGCCAAGCTTCAAATGGATCTCTCTTCGAATAATCGAATACACGATATATAAGAACATAACAAAGACACTGACGAGGTTATTTCATTAACAAAATACGATATTGAGCTATCAATCAAAACAATTTCGATAGACAAATCTCCAGGTTTCGACGGAATCTTTCTTCGCACAATACGAAATGTTAAATGTACTTACGCTATATGGGCAATCGGTGGGAAGCGATGGGAATCAAACAAAGATAACCAAGACTTGTTAGTGAATGAAGAAATTAATTTAACCATCCCTAGGCCAACTATCCCTTTCTTTAAAGAAAAGTACCATAATATGGTATTGTTTATATATATTAAACAATGGGAAGTCCACGGCCTTTGGTTCGAGGCAAGTGGGACCGCATCGCCTCTGCTTAGTGACTTCTTTAAGAATTACATTAGAATTAAAAGAACTTAAAGAGATGTGTTTAGTTATGATACGAGAGCGAGACACACTTAACATTATTCATAAAAACTTAAATTCTTAATATTGTGCACAATCATGTAAATCAGGATTTATATTTATATTCCATGATCAATCCATATTTTATTATATGTTTTACTTTTTTAATTTCATTAATTTCATTTATATACTATTTTATTCATATTTTATAATATTGTAACAATTTTGTCTGAATTTTGAGGACAAATTGATAAAAATATTTTTCCTCTGCAATTTAGCTCATTTACTCGTTGGTTTCTATATTCTTTATTGTCTGCTTACAGATAATGTGACCAATACCACTAGTAACTGGAGAGTTGATCAATCCAATGACATTGAAACATATTCGGCTTCTGAAAGTAAGTGGTAACATATTTTAATTATACATTTTTATATCTGCAGCTAGCCTATCAAATAAATTATATTATAAGTTTTTTACTCGTTGGTTTCTGTATTTTTTATTGTCTGCTTACAGATGATGTGACCAATACCACTAGTAACTGGAGAGTTGATCAATCCAATGACATTGAAACATATTCGGCTTCTGAAAGTAAGTGGTAACATATTTTAATTATACATTTTTATATCTGCAGCTAGCTTATCAAATAAATTATATTATAAGATTTTTACTCGTTGGTTTCTGTATTCTTTATTGTCTGCTTACAGATGATGTGACCAATACCACTAGTAACTGGAGGGTTCATCAATTCAATGACATTGAAACATATTCGGCCGCTGAAAGTAAGTGGTAACATATTTTAATTATACATTTTTATATCTGCAGCTAGCCTATCAAATAAATTATATTATAAGTTATTACTTATTACAGTAATAGATATATGAGTTATTATATAGTTATTACCTACTTATTGCAATTTTTTTTTAATTTTGAATAAGTGTGCAGCAACTACTCGCAGTTAATTTACAAATATATAAAGGATTCAACATTATCTGATGATAAGGATGTATTAATCAATTGTAAAGATTGTTACAATAATTATCCATCAAACATATCTACAGTGGTGCCAAATGTTAACGACGAAAGAGTTGCACCAAGAGAATTTCTTCACACGGTAATGTAGAAATAATAATATGTAACACATCGATTGTAGGAATGTATTAATAGTTTTACATTTTATTTGAAAATTGTATAGGCTTTGTTGGGCGATAGCAATGGTATTTGGCTTTACAGTGGATCATTGATCAGCAACAGATGGATCCTGTCTGTGGCGCACTTTGAAAGAATATTCTACAATCTGTTAGTATATGATGTTATAATAAATATTATTATATTAAATTTAAACTTCTTCAGAACAGTGACATGACTGAAAAAGTATTAATTATACGTTTTATGAGCAAGGGCGAATAAAATATAGGTGTTGTGTCGATCACTCCATCCTTTCTCAAAAAAAAGTAGTTTTAAGTCTATACAAGCGTAATGCGTAATAGTTATTATAATCGCTAATTCGGGCATTCAAAACTTACTAAAAGAGTGGTGAAACAAAGTGTTATCGTTAGGGGCCGGAATTATATTCTTTTGCATTTTTTGTTTTAAGTATATGCAGTCAGACGGGGGGTTTGAAATCTTTACAAATCATGAAACAGGTGAATTAATGGTAAAAGTTTTTTTTGCATATTTTTAAATATTTCAAGATAAAAGAATATTTTGTATAATAAAGAATATTAGAGAATATATCGATTCATTTTTATAGATGTTCGATATTTTTTGTTGCAGTGGCGTAAATAATATAAATTATAATATGTCCAATAATAGTGATAATAGTGATATGAAATTGATATATTATATATTTATATACTATTCTATATACGATTGTTATACTCTAAAACGGGACAGTTACTAGCAATTTTTCATCAAAATGTATTTAATGTTACAATTGTAGTTCACATGTTCAATAGGGTTTCAGAAAGGGTTAGAGAAATGTATCCAGACATAATTAAATTAATTAATAACAAAAAAAAGTATTTCTAAAATCTCCATACAAGTGTATAAAGAAATATTACCAGATATTCCGTTACCCCCTGAACCAATATTAAATAGATGGGGATAGTGGTTGGAAGCTGCTATTTTTAACTTGTGATATAATCCAAGGTTTATAAAAAGTTACTGTCAAAAATCTCCACAATAGTAATATAAATAATTGTCAAAATAATTGAATATTAAATATTATTATTAATAATTTAATCAAACTTTTTTTAACATGTAGTATTTTTTATTATGTATCTATTTATATCAGTTTTTTGTATTATGTGTTTAATTATTTTGCATATAAATGCATATTTTTAGTTCAAAAGAATATTTTAATAAAAAAGCATATATTTGCATATTTTATTATGATTTTTAAAGAATATTGGAAGAATATTTTCAACTTTTTAAGAGAATATATTAGCATCTTATTTTGGCTATTTTAAAAGAATATAATTCCGGCCCCTAGTTATCGTACATATGTCATACTTTTGATATACATAGGTGCGCATGTCAATAAAGTGGTAACAATATAAAATTCAGCATATGAATTTTCGATATTTGAACATTCGGGATAGTATCTACAAAGGCTGGGCATTAACGATTTAAAAAGTTGAAAGATAAGTTAAAAAGTTAATTTAATTTAAACTTTTTAACTTAAATAGTTACTTTTGGATTTTCATTAGCTTAACTGTTAACTTACTGAATTCCTTTTTTAATCGACTTGAAATTAACGAATTAATTTGTCATTTTAATAAATAAGTTAAGTTAATTTATTTTATTTTATTTTGGTTTTAATTTAATTATATTTCACTATTTCAGTCTATTTCGTTTTCATGTCAAAAAATATTTACAGTGAATTGTTTAAAGTTAAAAATGTATATCATTCGAATCTAACGTAACTATATGGAAATACTGAATAAAGTTTAAATACTATAGTCTATAATTTAGTTTTGGGTTGGAAAAAAATTAAGTACTCAAGTGTTGTATAAACAAATTAACTTTTTTCTAACTTAATAAAAAGTTAACACAAAGTATGTATTAACTTTTAAGTTGACTGAGTTAACATATAGTTAAATTAACTTTTAACTTTTTGTTATTGGTGCAAATTAACTTAACTTAACTGAGTTAAAAAAAAATCATTAACTTGTCCAGCCTTTGTATCTACTAGGTATATACGTGCGTCTATAAACTACAAAAAAGGTTAATTTTGATGAATTGTATAATGCTTACCTAAATTATTGCTGAAGTACGTGCTGGGCACGTCTAAGAGATCCGAACTATTCGTCGGAAACCGACGATGTCACACCAATGGACTACCAAATCGATCAAATTGAAGTTCACCCAGGTTTTCAAATGCCATTATTGTACAACGATATAGCGTTGTTCCATTTGGACCGGGACGTGCAGTTCTCGTCGTACGTGCGGCCCATTTGTCTTAACGCAGATCCAAACTGGCAGTGGAGTCACTCGCAGACTGTGATAGCACCTGGTTGGGGACGGATCCAATACGGTTGGTTTACTATCATTGGCTTAAAACTAACATCGTTCAGGGCCGTACTGAATAAGTATGGCCGTAGACAAGGCTGGGTATTAACGAGTTAAAAAATTAAAGTTACGTTAAAAAGTTTATTTTTTTTTAACTTTTTAACTTAACTAGTTACGTTTGGCTTTTCATTAGGTAACTTAAATGTTAACTTAGTAAATTTCTTTTTTAATTAACGTGAAATTAACGAATCAATTTTTCATTTTAAGAAGTAAGTTAAGTTAATTTATTTTGTTTTTAATTTTATTATATTTCACTAGGTATTTCAATCTATTTTATTTTCATGTCAAAAAATTATTTAAAGTTAAAAATTTATATCATTCGAATCTAACTTAGGTATATAATTATACTGTATTAAGTATAAACACTATATTTTAGTTTTTGTAATTTAGTTTTGGATTGGAAAAAAATTAAGTACGCTAGCGTTGTATAAACAAAATAACTTTTAAAGTTAACAAAAAATGTGTATTCAATTTTAACTTAACTGAGTTAACCTATAGTTAAATTAACTTTTAGCTTTTAACTTTTTGTTATTTGTGCATATTAACTTAACTTAACTGAGTTAAAAAAAATCATTAACTTGCCCTTAGATAATGGTGGAGGGGGTTTTTGAGGAGGAGCACTGCTGAGACATTCCAAAAGTTTTTATTGTTATAAATTATATTATTTATATTTTATTAATTACATATTATATGTTTGAAACAAACATTTTATTATATTTAATTGAAAAAAAATATAATAAAAGTATTTTTGAAGCTTACGCTACACTCGATCGTCAAAGTTTTAAATTACCTACAGATATACTTAGAAATAGGAATGTCTTAAGCTGTACATATATTTTATGATCCTGTCACTAAAACTATTAATACGGCCCTGACTCCTGAGTCGTGATTATTATTTTTTAGCATAATGTCACAAACGCATAATGATTATAAGTAAACTGTTTTACAGTTGGACCATTGAATGCATTCAGTTCAGGGCTGTCAAAGGTTAGTTTGGACATCGTCTCGGCGGAAAAGTGCAAGAGCAATTACAAAGTTTCGTCTGATACGCCCCAGTTGATACACGGAATAGATGAAGACAGGATAATATGCGCTGGCGTTGTTGATAGCTCAGAAGACACTTGTGTGGTAAATTACATATTGTGTTTCTTTTTCATGCTAACGTTTTAAGGTAAATTTCCATTTAAAGCATTTGTTGTATTCGTCTTACAACAAATACGCACTGTAACATACCAAATTTACGCTCAGCAGATCACGTTAAGCTTCATTAGTTAAAATAAAATTCAATGTAAATCGACTTATTATGTAACTTGATGGTAAGACAATTATCTGTGTTTGTATGTGGGTTTTTTACGATAAAGTCTCGCGTATAATATGTCATATTGAAAACATTCATAATACACTAAAACCTGAACTACCGCCGTAAGAAAATAACCCACGTACAAACACAGATAAGTTCTTACCATCAAGCTTCATAATAGGTTGATTCACCATACATTTGGTATGTTACGCACTTTAAAGACGGATACGACAAATGTCCGTGGCCGTACACTCCTGCACACGAATATAAAAGTACAAAATCGATTTAATCATGTACCACTATAAACGAGTTTGAAGTATTTAATATTTGTTTAAATTTGTCCATATATCATAGCATCAAATGCTTAGAAAGTAAACGATAACGTCATGTTAACCGTCAATTTCTTTTGATATTTCAATTTAAAATCAATTGATAAAAATTGTTTTTTTTTTAATTTGTTTTGTATGTTTTATTGTATTTATTTCGTTTTGTTAAACTTGCCTTAAAATGTTACGTTTAATTAAAAAAAAAAAAAACATCGGGGGATTACACACAGTTACACATTGCTCACGGTATTAATAGAATATTGCCTAAATCCGACCCTTTAAAAATATTACATTTTCAGCAGTCTTAAGATTGGATTAGATTTGGCCATATTTCGCATAAAATTTATATGAAGTAATCGATAACGTTAAATCCACAATTTCTTCGATTTCTTTCGATATTTTAATTTAATTCTATTAATATTTATTTTATTTTAATAATTTTTTATAAATTTGCTTTGTATTCTGTATTTTTTTTGTTGTTTTGTTTAACTCACTTTAAAATCGTTACGTTTATTGCAAAAAAAAAAGACTGGATAGAACGGACAGTACACATTATAATCTCGTCATTAAATTTTGCACTGCGTAAAATCTACCGGTAAATTTACTGATATTTGTTTTACGTAAATTCTCCATCTCTAGTCCTGAATATTTACATGAGAGGTATTAAAATATAAATATCGGTTTTTTTTGGTCATGGGGTATGGGGGGGAAGGTCAGTACCCCTGGACATACTCTTGTAAATCCACCACTGGTATATTATAGTCATCCGTTTTAACCATCTTTCTTCGATTTTGTCAAACAGGGCTTTGGTGGCAGTTCTCTTCAAATTCCGCACGCCAAGTACACGTTCATGTACACGCAAGTAGGCATCTCATCGGCCGGCAAGGAGCGGTGCGCCACGAAAGATTTCCCATATTTTTACACGAGAGTGTCCAAATATTTGCCATGGATCGAACGAATCGTTTGGCCCAAGTCTGGCTGAAATCATCACATTATGGATGAACATCAATTTGAATTGTAGTCACGAATAAATATGAAAAACTTTATATAGATAGCAGCTTTTAATCTTTAAGTATAATATTCCGTTTCTGTTTATTTTTATTCGACGTCGGGTCTGACTCGGTATTTGTAAAATTTTTTTTTATGACCACGCAAATCATAATAACACCTACATATTGTTTTGTAATTGTTATTATTTTTACTGCAGTGACAATTATTTCCATAAGACGTAGACTAGGTACATACACGAATATGCGATAAGAAAATAATATATGAAGGTGTATGACATAATTTTATATTTATATGTAGACATAGTGCTTTGCTTTGTAACGTTTAAATCTGAATAAATTGACGTTAGGTGATTGTTGTGAGTTAATAACAACTCATTAACTAAAACCATTTAATAACGTTTTATTATTATTCATAGAATTATATTGGAAATTTGGTAAAGGACTTGACTCATTATCGATGCCAGAAGCTCGACTAATAGTGGATTTAATAATAATAATACTGAATTATTCGTAAAAAAATTCTCTACCAAAATAATCGTTAGATCAACTGTGATTAAATATATTATTATAGAAACGAAATGACTGTTTAATAACCGATTTATCATTATTTCGGTAAACATATATGCTAGTAAACATAAATTTATACTGTATGAACGTTTAGTCGTTTAGAAGGTAAGAACGGCTGTACTTTATTGTTGTAGGTATATAGGGATTTCTTATAGAATTTTATTTTTTAAATACGAACGATTAATATTGCCCGATATTGGTGTTAATTATGTGGTGAGACGAGATGCAATGAAACATTACTCGATATGAAACTGTATCGGTATTAAAATATCGTAATAAATTATGATAAATTTTTTATAAACTGTAATATTTTACAAACGGCAAGTCATAACTTCAGATCCACTTCAGTTGGTTTATTTTCCTTTTCTTAAAACGATTATCGTCCAGGACCGTCAATAATATTTATTATTATTTATTACAATAATATTCTTTTCAAATAAAAGCTTAATTTTTAATTAAAATAAAAAATATAAAAGATTTCCAATTTCCTTCTGGGAGAAAGGTTATATCCGAAACAAAATCTTTACATCGCCAGTCTTTCCCGGTTATATTATTACATATATTATGTAAGGTGCACTAATGAACGTATTAATGAAAACACAGTGAACATGGATTGAAATAGGTATAGAAAAAAAGGATCTGAGGGTGATATATCATTGAGATCTTCGTGCGAGCTATTCGAATGGTGAAAAAGGTACTTGTGGGATAAGTTACATTTTGATTTTTGTGTTTATTGTCTTCGACGTTTTAAGAGGACTACGCTGCACTTGTACAATCACTTAACCTACAAAATGCATGTGACCAGCGGTTTTCCACCTTTTTTGATGTCAAAAGGGCTATCGCCCCCCCTGGGAATTATTAACTGCATGGTTTTTACATACTTGTATATCAATAGTTTGCGCATTTTGATGTAATGAAAAATTCAACATACGTAAGTATTTATGTTCTAATTTCTAATTTTTTCGCCAATTTATTTTTGCACCATCGTTTTTAATTCGTTGAAATATATATTTAAAAAAAAAAATAAAAAAGCCACTTGGTAGCTAAACCGCAATTATACCGGGATTTTTAATGGTAATACAAGGCATTCAGCGATTCCTGTTCGATACCTCGAAACCTGTTTTACAGCAGTTATATCTACTCGTAATATAATATAATATTAAAAATTATTTATAGATATCATTTTAATTTTTATAGTAACTAAATATTAATAATATATTAAATGCAATGTGCCCAGCAAAATAAATAATACAACTTACATTGTGACTGTGGTATTAATCAAGGGCAACCGCAGGAATATAAACCTGAGTGAAGGGGGGGTTGACAAAGTAAAATGTCTCTGATAATACAGAACATACTATTTTTTTAATAGTTAATGTCAACTAAAATAGGCCATGCCCAACTAGTACCTCCCCGTGGGCGCTATTGGTATTACTGATAGTAAAACAAATCACTGTACGTCTGTACCTAGTGGCCAAAACAAAATAAATAGATCATATTATAATATACTTAGTAATATATAGATTGTAATACCATCTTCTTTCATAACCGTTTTTCATATGCAATATTTTTTTATTGAATACAAACTTAACACTTAGGTACATTTCAGTGACCTACCAACTACAGTACAGGTGTACAACAGAGCGGTTACCTACTTTACCCTTTTTCAATTCTATTTAGGTACCTGTGTTCGCTGCACTAAGTTGTTATATTAATAGTAATGTTAGTTTGAGAGTAAAAATAACAATTAAATATTATATTTTATACAAACCTACCAAATGATATCATACTCTTATAAGTTATAGTATTTCTATTATTTACTTGAATATAATATAACTAATAATTATAAAGGAATATATTACTCTCAGGAAAGAGTAAGGATATACCTATTAATTGTTATATTGTTATACCATTTATACCCCCGCTCAATCGGTTTGTTTACAGAATGTACATATACATATACCCATATATTATTATAATATATAGAGAAGGTCACTTGTAATGGGAGTGGGGTTTGAGATTTCAAATTAGTAAATAATTTTAGATTCTGAGTGGAGCGATGAATGTATTGTTTTACAATGATGTGTGTTTTTTTTTTAATTTAATTTTTTTAATTATTTATTTCTTGTGCCTGTCATCACGTTTTAGGACAGTAAAAGTGCTTGGATATTCTTCAACAGTAGCTTTTCAAATAGGAAAGTGAATCTAGTTGGTACTTTGGGGGGTCAAAAGTGGCGTGAAAAACAAAATAAATATTAAGGAAAAACGGGAATTTTTACAGTAAAATCTGTTTTCGAAAAAATCAATTTTGGTTTTTGGTGCAACTCTTAAACAAATGACAGTAGGTACATTACATTTTGACTGAATGCTTATATTAGCATTTTCTTTACACGATAACATTTTCAAAATGTTTTGATTTATTTTGAACTGTTTAGGAACATTTTCATTTTCTATTATTTTTAGTTTTTTTTCTAAAAATATCGATAAAATTGTATTTGTTGGTTAAAAAAAAGCTTGACAATTTAATACAAGGCTCCTACTATATTGTTACAATGGCATTTGAAAAATATTTAAAATCCTTTGTAACAGTTTTTTTTTATACGCATTTCATGTTCAAAAATTGACAAAATATGGAAAAAATCACGAAAATTAGCAAATTATTTTAAGTTAAGAACTCGTAAAAATTTTTCTTTTTAAATCTAAGATTTCAAAATGTAATACAAGATTTCTTATAAAACCTTATACCTTTATCAAAAAAAAAATATCTATAAGAAAGTCAAATTAACTATTTATGAGCGTTTGAAATTCAAATTTTTACAACATTGGATATTCACTCGATTTCTCATGTAGCGATTTCCTTATTTTGTTGTAATTCAAAAACGAATAACTCTAGATACATGAAATTTTCACTGAATATTTATATTAACATTTCCTATACACCATACAATTTGGAAAAATGTCTGACTCGTTTTGAGCTGTTTACAGACAATTTAAAATGTATATTTTTTTAGTTTTTTATTCTATAAATATCAATGAAGTTTTATCTGTTGGGCCAAAAAGTGTATTAATACAAGGCTCCTGATATATTGTTACAATATCAGTTGAAAAATATTAAAAATACATAGGCACAATTTTTTTTTTATAAGCATTTAAAGATCGTTTTTCTTATACAATGATATTATATCATTGAATTCAAATTTATTCCTATCCATTATCCATTATACAGTAACCCACTTGTAACCCCTACTGTACAGCAGAGCATCTTTTTATTTATTTATTTATAAAATCCTGTGTAAATAATAATTATATTTACAACCCGTATGCACAACAAATAAATAAGTAAATAATATTATGTTGACATTTGTTTACTAGACGTGACAGCATCAGAGAAGCATCGACACAACTGCTAATTTATAAACCTAGGGGGTTAAGTTGCTACACTTACCTAGTTAGCTATATATAGTAGGTAAAATAAAATAAACTAAATGTTATATTAATAGATCACTTGGCCATTTACGTTTGAGACGACATAGAGGGGTTGTCCTCGTAAAAAATATGATTTCTTTTTATAAAAATGTTGTTTTTTACAACTTAAAATAATGTAAATAACGATTGTCTTAACTCTTAGACGTTAAATGGCTCACCCCGTGTAATATGACTGTCGATTGAAGAAGACGCACAAGCATATAGTATTATATTAATAATAGACAGAAATATAATATAATATACTCATCACACTTAGTCGAATATAACATAATAATGGCTTCTGAAATCAACGCAATTTTTTTCCGCACAGTGCACAGCACCCGAAGCTAAGATTAAAAAAAACCTATGACTTGATGAGTTCCCGGAAATTTTTAGTTATGCAACCAAAAGTATAGCAGTGGTAGAACAATTAGTAGGAAAGATCAGATGTGTGTAACTATAACTTCATTACCTTTCGCTTAAGTCTCCGGAAATTTTGCAGTTGAGGTAAATCGATCAGCTGTTAATTGAATGTGATAATAGAAAATAATAATATTTACCAGTTGTTTGTTCTAAGTCCAGGAGAACAGCTTCAATATTTCTTGATTCATTGAAGGCGGTGTGCTGCAACGACTTACATAGACGCACGAAACTTTTACGGTTAGTTAAATTTAAAGCACGGTGATGAATAGTGGGGTTATAATTACTTAACAAAGAGTAAAGTGGGAGAGCAAAAATAAGTGATACTGTTATCGAAAGTTATCAAATAACACGAGTTAGTTATTGTTAACGTTTAACAGCGATTTCGGGTAGGTCTAGGATCATATTATGGCACTTTGAGATGATAAATGAATGGACCATGTGTCATTTTCAGACACACTTTTCATCTAGGTGTTTGGCAGGTTATAAATAATTGTCTTTCTCTCCTTCTTAATAAGCATGTAAAACCCTTTTTTGGAAATTTATTTTATAATACTGTACTTGTGTCATGATGGGCCGTAAATATTATTATTATTATTAGTCGACCCATCGACCGATCGGTTACTGATTAATGATTATGCATAGGGCTAGTATTTACGCGCAATAAAAAAATGTAAAATATGCATTTTACTTACACCAAAATATGCAAATGCCATTTTTTTTTATTTCTCTATTATTATTTAGAAATTGTAGGTAGTCATTATTACATTGAATATTGCCGTAATGATTTATTATGTTCTTTCAAATTTTGAAACACGAATGACCGGTGATTGGGACGAAGAATGGAATTATATTGACTAAACCTTGTCGTACTAAAGAAAAACAAAAATAGTGTAGGTATGATCCTATCGGGGTCGTCTGACCGACATAAGATTAATATATCTTTTAATCAATAAAAAAGACAAAAAGTTAGCTAATGTTTTATACTTAAAAATTCCAAACAGAAGCAGTACCAATAAGAAGGTGGATTTAAAATTTAATTCCATCTTACCATTCTTACCACTACGTATTAGTTTTTTGATACCAGGATAGCCGTAGGAATTGAAAACAATAATCTAAAAATAATTTAATTATTTGAATTAACGTTCATCATAAAATACGTTAAGGACCCGTTAATTGTATTATTAAAAATAAAAATGTAAAAATTATGGAAATAGAGCCAATTTCACTGTGGTATGATATGTGTTTATATTATATTCTCTTTGGAAATAAAATCTGCCGTCGACAAATCTCATATACATTTACTTCGTTGCGTATTATTTTTATTATTATTAATTCGCTGTATTATTTATTCAAAAAAAGTTATTTACGCTCAACTACACGTACCGCTGCAGGCAGTTTAAAAAATTAAAATAAAATAAAACGAAATAAACGATAACTTAATACCAGTGCAGGAGCAGCCGATTAGCGACTTTTGATCTTCGACTGAATCGCTGGACTCGGACGACAATTCGTCATACGACGGCTGCAGCGACTCCTGCCATCGGAACTTCCGGTCACCGAAAGTGCGTTTGCCGCGGCCCACTAACGCCGTCCAGTTCGATGCCGCGAAGGAAATAGTGACGTTGAGCACTCGGCGCTTCCACCGAAGCACTATTTTCCTGGATGTATGGAAAATCAGTACGCTCACAGCAGAACAGCCGGACGGTTCAGTCATCCATTTGCACGAGTTTAGTCGGACAGGCTTTAAGCAGTGGCTGCCGGCAAACCAACACGTCTTGCCGTGTCCGCCCGAAGACGACCAAAGCTGGTCATCGGACGTCGACAGATCGTGGCTTTCGGACGAGGAGTTGGGGCCGATCTCTGTCAAGCGAAGGGCATCAGAACGAGAAACAACATCAGACGGCGAGGAAACTTTACGATGAGGAATTGTGGGCATCTGCAGGAGACGGGAATATCCAGCCACCGTCAGACCACAAAAATGTCAACAAGATAGTCGCTGCTGCAGATGAAACGGTTGAAGCCATGACTGAACCTGCAGCTCCTAAACGCAGATGGTTCCTGTCGTCCTTGGGAAGGCGACTCGTCAATGCCGGCAGAAAGATGTTCTGCTGTGGTGTCGGCAGTAAGCAGCGTACAAAGCTTTGACGCATCATTATTGGTATCTATACTTTCACATATTACATATTTATGTATATTACTTGACTTTTTTGGTTTTTTTAATTAATATTTTTAAGCATAATATTACATATATTTTAAAACGTAAAACATTTCTACTACGAACTGCAGTCATTTTTACTAACTGTTTTCAAAAAATTTAATATTATATTTCATTTTTTTAACATCGGGAGGTTCTCAAACGGAAATGTTGAGATTTCAGATGGAAATATTTTTGTTTATAAATGGTTGCCATGAGTGACGTCGTATAAAATGATTCGTTCTAGAAATTTCAATCCAGAACTATAGTGAATCGTTTTAATTCGTTGCTACGAGAACAAACAAACCATTTATTATATACATCGACACGATTTGTTATCGTACATATACATATTCAATCAGTATTATTAATTATTATTATGCGTCTATAAGCAATGATGAGATTTTTAAGCTAAATATAATAACTGAAAAAAAAACTATTTGCTTTACTATTTAAGTATAAATTATAATATAATATCTAACTATAAAAATGTAAAATGAAACTCTCTGTACAGGCTAAACTCTGGAACTACTTATCAGATCTTCTTAATTTTTTTTTTTTAAAAAAGAGTATTTCACGGAGAAGGTTTATATGAAAAAACATTTTAGGAAAATCCACCGGTGTATAATATATTGGTTGGTATTGGTTAATCGTGTTTTTTTGATTTGTATTATTATCTTTTGTCAATGTACATATAATATATATGTTACGGTAAATGATGTTACATCGGAAATTAACGTTATTCGCCGGTTATTTACGTTATTTACCTACGAATGTGGGAATTATCGTTATTTTCTAGTGAATAACGTTAATAACCGTATGATTTGGGAAATGTTGATTTTATTTTAAAATAATGTCCAACGAGCAATGATAAAGTGATCGCTAAACTAATTGTGGTACTAATTGGGTAAATAAATAACACTTTATCGGCCACAGATAAGGTGGACACTGGGCCTATACAGTATACAATTACTATACATATTATAACATAGGTATAGCCGTGGAGATTACATTTGAAAATATCATACGTAACGAAAATATACTGGCAGTTGTCACCCAAGTTGAACATGACTTCTACAAACTCTGTAAGTTAATTCTTAATGAAAAAATATATTATTAAAATTAATAATTTTTTAATTATTTTATAGGTACGGAACATGGTTTTCTTAAATATAATTACACACGCCAAGAAATAGCTGCTTGCGAAGAAAATCTATTAGACATGTACAATGTGATAAAATTAGCAGGTGATAGACAGTTGACACTGAGGGAAGCAGCTAGTAATAGTTCGGTTGCGGGCCCTCAAGGGTACCAGCGTTGCCATTGCAAGACTGGTTGTAATAATAAACGTTGTGCCTGCCGTGGGGCTGAAAAATTATGTAATAGTAAATGTCATGGGAGTACAAATTGTAAAGACAAATAAAAAATAATAAAGCATTTTTTCTATTTTTAAAAATACCTATTTTGTAGTAGGTATTTGAGATTCACGTGCATATCTGGTCTATAACAACAATTACCTGTGTATTTGGTCATTAATGTGATTATCCGGTTTATAACGATAATTACCTGTGTATTTGGTAAATAACGTTAATAACCGGTGAATTACGTTAATTTCCATTTAACATCATTTACCGTAACATATACAAGAAGATCTGATACGTAGCTCCAAAGGTTAGTCTGTATAGTTATAGTCTATGTATTTATATAGTTAGATATATAAATTATAAATATATATAAATCAGGGCTTGCATTTGACAAAAAAAAATCCGTTTTACGTTATTTACAATTAAAACGTTACACAATGTTTCCGTTTATCGTTATTCAGAATTAAAACGTTATCCAATTTTGGTGTTTATCGTTATTCAGAATTAAAACGTTATCCAAATTTTGCATTTATCGTTATTTAGCATAAACTTTAACCACGTTTATTATACAATCTATTGCATTTAAGGTATTTTTGCTAAGGATACAAAAAATTTGCCTTAAAATAACGAATACTTTAATATAATAAACTCGTTTTTAAAATGTTGTTTTTACTGCCTTTTGGCTTAGGAGGGCAGTATAGACGTGTTCTATTCCCAACGTACCGATTAATCTAGTGAAGACTTGTGAAGTGATAAGAATTCTGAAAACAGATTTGAATTTGTCGTCAAGTCTACTTTTCCACATTTTTGATAGTATCCCCCCAAAATCATAAAAACGATATATTAAAAAGACTAATTAAAAAATTCACATATTTCAATTTTTGGAGAAGTTTAAATCAAAAAATCTAAAATGTGGGAAAGTCGATCTCATGAATACTTGACGACAAATTCAAATCTGTTTTCAGAATTCTTATCGCTTCACTAGATGAATCGGTATTGGAAATAGAACGCTACTAAAACGTACGAACTAAATACTAACTAGGTGCGAGAAGTACCAGGAACTCATGAACTAATCGTAACTTTTCTTCAGTTTCGGCGGTGGCGGCAGCGGCTGCTCGGCGGCTGTTCCGACGAAGCGCGGAAGCAGTAGCTACTCGCTAAACTGCAATCACGATCATAGCATACGTTCCTGTTACATTCTGTTATATTATAGAAAATATCGTCAGAATATTCGTTTATACAAGTTACTGAGTACAAAATATAATATATATAAATATATCGGACGTCGTTTTTATATATTAAAATGCACGGAAATCACTGAGGGAATAAATTTGCCATATAAATAAATGCAAATAGAATTCAATAGGTAGATTAACTACTAGCATTGATTTATGATTATAGTATATAATCAATGTTACCAAGTACTACCTAGTTAGTAGTTACTACTAATGTGTGCGTAATTTTATTTGACTAGATGATTGAAGTCTGAAGATGAGAGAAGAACCTGGATACCTAGCTAACAAATGCATACACTTTTGTAATCGCTTATCATCTCTAGTTATTAGTAGTTTATAACAATATTATAAAATAATTGTATTATGCTGTAATAGATACAATATAATACATCTGTATTGGGTAATTTATTTAAATTGGAATTTAACTGCTTATGAATAACGATGAAAAACTATTTAGAGCGAATAATGAAGACAATATTATGTTGACAAAAAAATTTGCGATTTTTACGAATGCCCTGTTTGTAAAAGTAAGTACGGACATTTTTAAAAGTACCAACTAGATCCAATTGGAGACCAATTGAAACCACCTTCGAAGTTTAAAATCGAATCTTTCTAATTGAAAAAATGTCTTCATACTTTCAGACACAAAACAATAAAATATATAATAGTACATAATATCATTGATTATAAATACTATAGTATTACTATAGTATTTATAATCAATGATAATATGAACATTATCCTATTGGATGTATTAGTATAGTATATTGTTTAATATTATTAATATTATGTAATATGTTACTATCTTAAAGTTAGATTCTTTTTTGGTCATTTTTAAAATAAATATTTTTTGTCTTTGGCCCAATCCACCATATTGCCACAAACAACAATGAAAATATTGAATTCAAGGTATTTCATAAAAATTAAACGCAGGTGAGTGATAATTTAATTTTATTAAAATTACGATTAAAATTAAAAAATAGGTGGGCAAGTGGGTGTCGCTCTGCTGTACAGACGTACAGTAGGTTACAAGTGGGTCACTATATAATAGATGATATTAAATTTGAATTCAACGATATAATATCATTGTATAAGAAAAACGATTCTGACCGGAGACGGTATGTCAGTCTAGGTATACGACATAATATTATATAGATATCTATGGTACTAAACCAAAATTTGACCTATAGTAGGTACCTATAATAAATTCCAAATTAATCATATCACAATATCCATTATAGGTACTTATAACGCGTTATACATAAAAAAAAACCGTGATACTATCATAGATATATAATAGTACACTTTAGAAGTTTCAAGTACCCACGAATAATATTATTCAATCACAACAAAATAACTAAAATAGTTATTCTAGGTTTTTTTTTATGTAATTTCGTCCAAATTTGAATTTAAAATGTATGTAAAAAATAACTGTGTTCATATATTTTTCAGATTTTTTGGTTACAACTTACAGTATGAACTATTTATGAGAACCTTTGTTTTAAATTTGCAATCCTAAGCTATAAAAACTGAACATTTTATAATTTATTGTCTTGTATTAAATTTTTACACTTTTCGGCCCAACAGATAAAACTTAATTGATATTTATAGAAAAAAAAATGCCGCCCATGACCAAGGAATCGAACCCGTCCCCCTGTAATTATTATTATGAGTATAATATAAAATACTAAGATTAATAAAGATTGGGTACAACATTCTGGAAACGTTGCAGCAACATTGTGGAAACGTTGATGAAACGGGTAACGCGAAACATTGAAATATATGTAACAGGAACGTATACTGTGATTGTGGTGTCGGATGAAACATAGTCGTAGCCTACGCCGCCGCCGACACAACTACGTGTGAGAGCCGACGACGCAATGCCGAAGCGGTTAGCCCATGCGACCCTGGTACCACCGACTCTGTTTTATCATGCAAATCATCATCGACGTATTCTTGTCGAAGGTTTTTATCGCATTCGACAAAAATATTTGTCGCATGAAACAATTTTTATTGAAAATTTAAAAAAAAAATTGATTATATGAGGTTCGATTAAGTCCAGCATGACAGACGACAGCATTTAGGAAGCTCACACGAAAAAAGAATATTTTTTTTCTAGGATTGCCATTGGTTATTTTTTACTTGTAACCTACTGTACAGCGGAGCACCTTTTTTAATAATATTATTGACTAAGATTCAATGAGATATTTTTTTATAATTTTATAATTAAAAGCTATTATTTTTGTTTAATATCTGTTTTGCATATTTTATTAAAATAATTTTTAAAAGCTACAACGATATCTAACAATTTATGGAACTAGGATTTTTATATTTATATACTAGCTGATCCCG